AGTAGCACTCTCCTCGAATGACAACATACCAAAATTTTAACCTCAACGATGCTTGAGGATGTTTCTGATCAAGTATGATATAACCAATGTTCAAAGGCTCAAGTGCGGTTGAAACAATTTGGAATTGACTGAATTGGATAAAAGGGCATTTGCATCAACAACAAAAACATTGAGGCGAATGTTACCAGAGCGCTTTCAATAATGTGGAATTTTGTACCCAGGAGGCCCCCACACATGAGATGTTTTGCGAATATTATCAAGCTGATTTGGCTCCCAGTTGTCTCTAGTCACATAAGAAATCAACTAGTCCCGGAGCGTTGCACCCCAACCTAGCGGATTATATGGAAGCTTTGATGGAATAAGATTTCGTGCACTTGAGCGAGCTTTCAACATTGTCCTCTTTATGGTTATGCATTGTATTTCTTATCTCTCTAATCAGTTGTGTCCAGTACTCTGGTAATCCGCGTTGTTTGGGAAAGGAGAGGCTCCTTTGGCGAACGTGGTAAAAAGTGGAAGAATAAACTTTTTGGAATTTATGTTGAAGTGTCATGCACGAGCTTGTGCCACAGAACAGGTGCCAACCTGTCTGAAAGCATTATTGTTTTTGTATCCAGTAGGCATGCTGGATGCTGAGATCACCGCCCATCCATTTTTCGAAAAGCAATCAACACCAGAGGCACTGCCTGCTCACAATGATGAACAAATTCATGTGCCATGTACTCCTAGAAGCGTTGTGATAGCTCTGGTCAGGCCAGCATTGTTCGGTTTCATTACCAAAGATGGGTGCAACTAATTAAGGGATAAGTTGTCAATGTGCGGAAACGCCCGTTCTTTTTGTCTTATAAATTGCTCCTAAACTGGTCTTCGTTGCAGTATAGCTATATATTCCAATCTGATGCGTAAATGTGATCCTCTAATAATAATCGGCAGACTTGTGAAAAGGGCACATTTTGTCAACTCAAATGTACTGCAAAATGTAAGATGGACATGAAGCAACGGAAACGGGCGTGCTGGATGGATACTTTTTAGCGTCCTCTCATAACGCCACCATTGTCTCAGTAACTAGGCGTCACAAAGTTAACATAATTTACAATGGCATCCCTTGTGACGGCTACAAGGGATGTCCTTGTAAATTATGCATGCCCTACCTGTTGTCTCTGCCATTTGCACGGGACGTGCACCGGCAGAGGGGTCCATCTTTTGCACCGGACACCGTGCGCGCCCTTCTCAGGCTTCGAATGCGCGCTCACACCACCGTCCCTGGACAGCGACCAGCCGGCACCAACGGCCCGTTGTGTCCGGGGCTGCCGGCGTCAGCAACTTCGAATCCGCGAGGGAAGCCCCGGTACATTGCACAGGGCTGTCCGCAGCCGAGGGACTCAGTCGTCCCATAGCTCGTTTCCGCAGGCCGCTCGAGGCCACCGGGATTCCCTTCAACGCCACCGGCCGCTTATGGCCATCGACCACCCCTTCAACAAACCGGGCAAGCGCCGCCGGCGCCAGTCCGGCTCGGCTGAGGACGGCGGCGCCGTGAGCTTCGTGGATGAGGGGGCTCCCAGGCGGGAGCGCCGCCGGCGGTCCAACGTGCGGCGGCTGTGCGGCGGGCATTGCTTCCGCGACCCCGTGGTGACGAATGATGATTGTTTCTGGCCGGAGGGGGAGATGCAGGAGGGGGCGGGATCGAGGAGGCCCAGCCGGGCCGAGAGGGCGACGCAGCTGAAGGAGGCGCGCAAGCAGCCGGGCCGGCATGGGGGGAAGCCGGGGGGGAATGGAGAGGTGGGTGATGGGGCGATCAGCTGTGGCGAAGCTCGTGGATTGGGAATTCTTGCGAGCGGCGGAAACACCGGGTGCTTGCGCCTTGCGGGTGATGTGGGAATCCATTGATGGCATTGGTCGAAAGTGACAGAACGCAGCCCTTGAAGTTGCTGGTGGCGCCCGAACATGTGTCCGCATACAGATTGTGCAGCTGACGATTGCAACAAATGCGATAGCCAAAATCAAATCCTATGCAAAATGTTGGGAGTCGTCTCGTTGTGGGTAATGCGGATTTGCAATGTCGCTTCTGCTGGATGAATGGGTGGTGCTTGCTCTCCCTATTCCTGGGATCCAGCATGAATTTTTGTTTCCTTCAAGCGTAACACGGGTCAAAGAATTGGTGATCACCTCATGAGATGAATTTTTTTGTGACACCTCTCCGCAATGTAGAAGGTTCTGCACACTTCTCCAGTAAAGATCAGCACCAGAGTGTGGATGAGATTGGTGTTGGCAACCCATTGTGAGATCTGTGGATCGTATTGGGCACCGCAGCGGCCCTGTGCTCCTTAGCAAGCAGGAGCAGACACAATCCAAGTTCAATCCAAGTTATTTGTTCAAGAAGTTTGTTCACGTCACCTTGCCTGGATAGGTGTGATCAGCAATAATTGTTTTCTGCATCGCTGGGAGCAACATGTTCTGGGTATCAACAAGCTGGTCTGTATTGCTGATGCCGCTGTCCAGGAAGTGAAAACCCACTTGCCTGGACTGTTGTTGGCAATGGTGTGCTGAACCTCCTGGCAGAGCCCTTGCTGGGCAAAATCTGCCTTGACTGCTTTGCTTGTCCTATGGCAAGAGCACTGGACCCATGACCTTTGCTGCATAATGACAACATTGATCAAAGCAAAACTCGGTGCAGTCTTGTGATACTCATCACAATCCTCCAGCCATCCATGTGCATTCTTGAAAGCCTCCCTGTGTGCTTGTTGCTCTGATATCCATTGGCAACTTAATGGTATACATGCCACGGCCAGGAAGGAATGTCCACACCATTTCTGGTACTGGATGATGCCCCAAACTGCATTATAAACACTGGAACGAAGGTTGTGGAGAAGGTGTCCACCATATACCACATTATTGAGCATGTGTGGGAATGATCTCAGCAATGAGCTTAAATTGTGCCGCGTCAACAATTTTCTTCATTGCGGCGTGGCACAGAACTGTGGAATCACCATTTGTGTGGATAATGTGGGTTTGAGAATGTGAATGATCAACTATTGCTGTGGTGCCACTGTGCTGGTCTCAGTTTTCGGTTGACATGAACAGCATCAGGCCAAACATGGGCTTGTTTGCAGACAATTCCACAGGGTTGAAGAATGTCCCAACCAGATTTGCTTGCAAAGGGGTGTTGTTTGCCTAACATGTTTCTCTCTGCTAAAGACGACTTTGACACCTATTGGCGTTGGCTTTCAATGGCCGCATTGATACATTGACAGTGGAATCAGCCCCTGTTTAAGTTCCCATGAAAGCTTTCTTCGTGCTGAATGCCCTAAGGTCCTGCAGATCTCTGCTAATGGGATGTACCGATTCGATCGAGGAGACAGGACCAAACATTCTCAAAGAAACACTGTTGCCGGAATTGTGCCCATCATCAGCTACACAAGGGTACAAAGGCAGTGTTTGTCTTTCGCTAGCAAATGTTGTCTGATGCATTGTTGCTGTTAATGAAGTAACCAAGCTACTGGATGATTCCCATGCAAGGCCATTGCTTCTTGCTGCATTGACGAGTCAAAGCCACACATGAGACCCAGCTTTTGACTGACCCCCAAGGAATACAACAGTCGCAGCTTAGCTGTGGGCAAATAGTTGTGTGCCTCCCCATCTGACATCGCTCAGAAGATCAAGGGCAGTGCTTACCACACTTCGATAAGCGCAGTTAACATGGATTATGCCTTCTTCTGACATTCTCTCACACCTGTCCAGGATGACAAAGACTGTGAGGAAGTGGCAGAGGAAGTCAAAGCAGCAAAAGCCAATAGACCACGCAAACGTCGACGAAAATCCAATGCTCCAGGTGAAAACCTGTCTACAGCCATCAATCTCAAGGCAACCGATGGTGGCGATGCCAACCCTCAGCCCCCTCTGTATTGCCATCCCCAAAAGGAGGGAGCTTCCCCATCATTGCAGGCCTATCCAGACGTTATGAACAAGTTCATGGAGAGCGAAGGGTTCATCGAGCCCACCCCGGTGCAAGAGGAATGCTGGGGCGCTGCCTGTTTGGGCCACGACGTGAAGGGCACAGCGCAAACTGGGAGCGGGAAAACGCTGGCCTTTCTGTTGCCTGCTGTTGTCAGGCTGCTGGAATCGGTGGGTCGGCAATTCAATGGCGTATGTTTTGTGGCAATGTAGATAATGTGCATGGACAGCAGAGGTTGCCACACCCTGCAATGTTGTGAAGCACAAATGGCCATGTGTTGCTCACAACAGCATATGCATGTGTACAGGAAACTTGTGTCTCTTCATGTATTGATTGCTAAATATTTCCTCACGTTTATATTGTCCAATGGAAGAAACAATGGCTGTGATTCTTTTCTTAAACGCGATTGGAAGATTTGACACAGACTGCAGACTTGGCCCCTTGATATGGCAGCTGAAATCCCAGCAGATGTATTACTGCTAAGTCGATTTGACCACAGTTGTACTTGATATTGTCAAATTTGTTGCTGTCAACTTTGTGCAAAATGCGGTTATGCAGGCTACCCTTCCTTGCGAAAGTTGACTGTATCAGCTTGGGTTGGGGGGGAGGGTAGCTAAGAAAGCAATACATTGCCAACACTGACCACGTCGTCCCTTCTCACCATTCTCTCTCCTTGCCTGCTGGTCTTTCCATCAATCACAGCAAGTTTTACCAGCTAATGGCATACAAATTTGAGCATCAATTTGGTGGGCATGTTGAAGTCCTCTGGCAGGCGAATATAAGTGACTGTGTCTGAATTTGAGCAGGACACAGGCACATGAAATACAGGTGCAGAACATCAGCTCCACTCAGGGAAATTGTGTGTAGCTTGTGGATGTATTTGGAGGCAAACTAGCAAGAGAAAGAAAGACGCAGCAATCTTGACTGGCACCTGCGATCCCGAAACTCCATTTTAGCACAAGAAGGACAAGACAGAGACTTTGCAAACCACACCCTTCACAGCTGGCCTCTATCTGATTTTGTTCTGCTTATTCTTGGCTGTATCATGGACAGGGTTCTCAGTAATGGTGGTCAGAAAACATGTGCAAGATATGCTGCATGGACATTCCAGTACTACTACTGTCCAGTACTACTGGACATTCCAGTATGGTTCGATTTGCCGTGACACTGGCACGCACTGTTGCCACATTCACAATTTCATGGAACACTGGTCGATAACCTCTTGTTTGCATGCATTTCCAGAACGGCGGCCAAAGCGAAGCAGGCCCTAGAGTGCTCATCTTGGTGCCCACAAGAGAGCTTGCAAGTCAAGTAACTTCAGTGTGCAGAAAGCTGAAGCCGCTGTTCATGATCCAATCGGCGTTTGTCTATGGAGGTGTCAGCAAGGAGACACAGGTGGGTTCAGGTGTTTTGATTTCTTTGAGATTATCTCCTCTTGTCATGGTTAACATATGTGGAGGCCGCAGTTGGCCATGGATGGCATTCGTCAGCACCTGTGGTTGCAGCTTGATGCGGATAATGATGATAAATTTTCAGTAGTTACATATCAGCCACCAATGGTTATACCGCTGCATGTGCGCACAAAGAACTATGTGCCCAGTAATTGCCATGATATGCAAACACAGCCTTTGCCTTTGGGCCTGAAATCGGTTGAGGTAAAACTTTCTGGTTCCCATCCCAAAGAACACTTGCAATCCTCACTGCCCCACTGGGTGCTAGCCTGATGATTGGTGTCGCAGTGCCATACTTGCGGTAAACTGCCTTTGCATTCTGCAGTGGACAGCAGGGGAGCTGGTTGACTGCTCCCCTGCTTCCAAATTTTACTTTGTTCAGAAATCTGGCCCTGCATTTAAGGAACAGTTGCAAAATCGTTTGCCACCTTGTAACACTGGTTTGTTGTGGTTTTGATTTGCTGGGTACTCGATCAACCTTCCTGGTGAGCTGGCATGGGCTTGTGCCAGATTCTGTAGTGGACCACTGTCATGCCTCCCTGTTGTTTGCCAGTCCCGATTTGTGTATGGTACGCTACTGGACAAATACGTGCCTGGTTACATGGGCAAACAGTGGTGACTGTCTTGTCATGGCACTTCTTCAGCTGCTTGTGCTATTCAGGTTATTCTGTTTTGTTTAATTCTGGTATTTGTGACATTAGTTTGTTTTATGGGAACAATTTATGTGTGTTTGAGTGGATGCATGGCTGCTGGGGCATCTTTCTGTGAAAATGTTGCATGTTTTGGCTGCCCTGTGGACATCCTCCCGAGAGGCATCCAATTAGTGCTGTTCTTTTGTACTGAACATTGTGAACTGTAAGAGTAAGTGTACTGTGCACCTGAAAGCCAAACAACTACAATACCCCAAAGTTTCCAGCAAAGAGCTTTCAGAGCTAACGTAAGCCCTCCCTTGAACCTCTACTCCAAGCCACTGAGGGGCTTGTTGTGCCGCCTTTTCTTTGAACCTGTTACCAAGCAGGTGGCTAAACACCATTTCACTCCAAGACTATGGTGTGCATGGTTCAATCCAACAACTGTGTGTTGACGCCTTGTGCTGGGCTGGGCTGGACGATTGTGCAGGTCGATGTACTCAAATGCAGGCCTCACATAGTTGTTGGAACTCCAGGGAGGCTGGTCGACCTGCTGCATGAAGGCCACCTAATCTTGGGTATGTGTCAGCTCCTCTGCCGCACACATGCTGCTTCCCCACTGCTGTTGATGTTGATGGATTGTAAATGTCAAAATGTCATCCATGCCGTGCTGCAAACTCTATGCTGAAGACCAAAAGCTCTTTGTCAGTTAATTTGTGTGCACTGCCAAGAACACACTGAAGAGCTGCAGCTTCAGCAACGAGGCAAAACGCAGTGGCTGCACTGACAGGGTTGGGTTGCACGATGAACTGGATGCTGTAAGTGCGAGCACTGTGGGTTTCATGGCTCTCAGTGTTGCTGCCGATTTTGTGATTTTGCAGGGTATGTGGAATGTGTTGTGTTGGATGAAGCTGACAAGATGCTGTCTTCTGGATTCGAGGAACAACTTGAGGAGTTGAGGAAGGCGGTGCTGCCAGATGCCTCTGCAGGTCGAAATATGCTGCGAAAGAGGCCACAGGTCGGTCACTACGAGAGCTCGGCCATGAAAGTAATGCTGTAAGAGCTTTGCCGAAAATTGAGTGCTGTTCCGACGATGCAGCATTTTGTTTACCAGAAACCTCAACCTAATAGCCACCGCCCCGCTTTGAAAAGGGTGTCTTTAGGAATGGAGGTCTTAAGGATTGAGAATGGAGAAGTTGTCTTTAAAAGGGTGTCTTAAGGAATGGAGGCTGGTACTTCATCGTGTCATTCTTGATCGCATCCAATGCCTGGTGTTCTAGAAAGACCTGTACTTTAGACCTCTTCATTCTTGGCAGTGGAATCTTTGTGAGTCCATGCCAAGCTCCAACTCAGGCATGGGATGCATGTTTGAATGCTTCTGCAGCAAGGAACTTCCGGAAGGAGCATGCTATGAGAATGCAAAATACCAACGGTTCAGAACTGCAGTTTGCTCTCTGTATGGAACTCCCAGCACAGATGGCTGGACGGCGCCTGTCACACAACAAGTTGTGACACTGTGCTGCCAAGTCGCATTTCACCTACTGAGCGCGCCAAGGCTTGTTTCATCATACGTTGCCTGGTTTGGTAGCCAGTGTTTGTTTGGGATTTGTCCCATCATGCAACAGGAAGGAAATGTGGCAGTATGGTTTGAAAGCACAGCGCCAAGAACCGAACACCGTGTTATTGTTGATCGCAAACTGGTCTTGTCGCAGGTCATGCTCTTCAGTGCCACCATGCCAGCCGCTGTGTCCGGTGCAGCCAGCAGGTGGCTTACAGACCCAGCCGAGCTCGACATGCGACCTTGCGCGAACTGTGTGAGTTCGACGATCACACAGGTGATCCATGTTTGTGCGGAGCACAAAAAGCCGGCAAAGCTCTTGAAACACCTGAAGCAGATCAACGCTGCGTCCCAGGGCAGCAGAAACAAACCCAGGGTGCTCATCTTCTGCAATCATGTCAAGGTATTGCATGCATCTTTGTTTTGAGTATATTGACAAAGTTGGTCAGCAGTGATTGTACCTTCAATGTGATGGCCTTTGCACGCAACCTCGCAGCACTGTTCCCAAATTCTCAAGTCATGCTAGAATCCTGTTGAGGTATTCTGTGTGGGGCTGGACAGGATGTGCAGGGCAATAAGTTGTGGGGGTTGTACTTTGAGTCCGCAATTATGGTAGCAGTGGCCAGTAGGAGCCAGCTTTCAGTACTGTAGCATTCGCTTCCTTCGGAATGACTGTAAGTCTTTAGGATGAGTGCACTCACATAAGAACACCGGACATTGGATTCTGTTTTGTTCAAGCGTATTGACAAATTGAATTGTCATGCCACTGGCTCAAGCAAATGCAGTAAATAACATTCACGTCCACATATCGATGCCCAGCATGGGGTGGGTTGTGAACACTAGATGTTGAAATTTGATTCTTGGATTGGATGTGTAGTCTTCTGTTTGATGCACCAATGAACGACAAATATTGCATAGAGGGTGCCTGTGATGTTGAACCAATGAAGAATTTAGGATTGTCAAACCAACGTCTGCTTGTCGCTTGAGCACGCCCTACCAAGCTTGTCAAAGGCTCTCTGCCCACCATTTATGTGGCCCTGGCTTCATTGGCAACCGTCTTCAGGGCACCAAGCGCATGTCGCACGGGCAGAAATAGCCAGATTGTTCCCAGGGGTCAGAACTTGTGCTGTACCCATGCATGACGCCCTCATCTGTCTATGATGGTCTCATCCCGTGCAGAACTGTAGGTCTCCGACAAGTACCCAGGCGATTTTCACATTGAAATCAAGGTTGTATTGCATTGCCTGATTTCCAACAGCTCCAATGGCCACTGTGTCACCTTCCAGGCCGTACGCTTCTTGCACGCGACCCTCACTGGGGCAGACTACAAGGTTGTGCAGCTGCATGGAAAGATGAACCAGGAGGAGAGGGAACGCGCCATGCGGGAGTTCCGCGCTGGCAAGGCGCAGATGATGGTGGCCACGGACGTTGCGGCAAGGGGACTGCACATCCGGCGCCTGCCCTACGTGGTGAACTACGACTTCCCCTCAAGGATCGAGTCATACATCCACAGGGTGGGGAGGACGGGGCGGCTGGCGGCCTATGGCCATGCTTTCAGCTTCTTCACACGGAATCTGGTGCGTTGTTCTGTTCCAGTTCCTTTTAGTTGTCATCGGCATGCTTGCATTGTTGTTGCTCTTGCTTTAGTTCAAGTGTTACATTACATAAGAGTCCATGAGTTGTTGCACTCGCAGCAGAAGAGACGCCCCGCCTCACAGGAATGTCCGAAGCGAAGTGAAGCCAGTGGGTTGATCACACAATACTGAACGTGAAATGAACGCACAATCTCAAAGTGGTGTTCTGGAAGATCAGAGCTGTTGTGATTGCTAATTCTTACTGCGAGCATCAACGAGAAAGTGCTATGTCTCCGTCGCTTTTGAGGACATCTCAAGCATGTCTACAAACTAGAAATCCAAATCCCCGGTGCATACACTGGAACACTCCACGCAATCTGTATGGGTAGGTGGGATGAGGGGAGTGAAACCTGCATCCTGTGCGTCCCAGAGCTGAAGCTGGCGCTCAACAGTCTGCGGTCGTTCTTTGGGCAGCGATTGTTGCTGCTGTGCACTGGCATTGCCCCCAAGCGCACAGAACACGGAACTGGAGTCGGTCAAGCGCCTGTGCTGTCTTTCCGTGGCTTGACATCATGACGGGCTTTTGTGAGATGTAGCCGGCCTAAAGTACTGTAGGCCTTCCTGCCAAAAGCATGTCCAGTTTTTTCCTGCGGCAATGCAATATTTCCTCTGAGTAGATATTGTCTATCATGCGCGCAGTGCTCACTGTTGATTTACCGTATTTCATACGATGGTATACATGTCCCACGGCCGTTGCCCAGCAAGACTGCCAAGACGCCGCCCGTCGTTTGGTGTTCTTGCGGGGTCGTTTGTCGCACGAAGCGGTGCCCATGCGCCACATCTATCAACCCCAGGCACACACTGCCACCGGCCAACACCACTGTTCGATGATGGTGTTGCGCTGCCATATCATCATTCATTTTCACAGAACAAGGCAATGAGGTGGCCGTCAGCTTCCTACTTTACCCGAGCAAAGCAGTGTCTATGATCAGCTCATTCAAATCTAATGCTTAACGCGAACAAGGTCTATGAATATGTTGACATCTAACGTGTTGTGCTGTCCCTCCAGGCCAAGCTGTGCCCAGATTTGGTCGACTTGCTGAAGCACCACAGCCAACCCGTGGACCCGAACTTGGCCCGGCTGGCGGACGCATACAAGAAGGCGGCAGACATTTTGGAGGAGCTGGGGGACCTTAAGGCCGACACTCCCGACCCTGGGGAGGGCCCCCCGGGCGAGGGAGGCGAAGGGGAGCCGGGGAATAGCCACAGTGGGGAAGTGGCGGACATGGCGGCTGACGGTGGCGGGGAAGGTGAGGAGAAGGGGCGGGGAAAGAAGGGTGGCCGTGGGCGCGACGAGGCGTTGATAAAACAGCTGGCGGGGAAACTGGTGGGGAGCAATGGGAGGAAGAAAAGGAAGAAGAGCCATAGACACGAGACGTGACGCGGTGAAGTGGGGTTCCGTTCGTGGGCATTGCCGCAGGGGGGATTGATTTTGAGGGTTGGGATCGGAAGTGTACTTGTGTACTGTGTTGCAACGTGTGGAAGGTGTGGCAAGAGCGCTGTCTCGATCGTTGCCAGCAGCGGGTCAGGCTGCCACAACAAAGCAGGTGCAGGTGTCGCATGTCTCAGCACACACGCCCGCGCTTTTGGAAAGGCCACTGTCAGCCGCCACCCCAGAAGTCCGTGGACGAAACGCGCCATCCTCGATCCTTTGGCTCAGATGCCAGACCGGGTGATAACTGTCTGGAACGAAGTTGGTTCAGTTGCATGCACATCTGTCCAAGCCCCACATTCTGCCAGCGCATTCTCCCAACATTGCGACTTGCTGCAACCATGTCTTTGCCGATTCAACGTTGCTGCAGTGCTGCCCAAGGGCAGGATCCATGGCTCTCCCCGCGCCATTTTTGTGTCGAAAGGCATCTCGCAAGACACCGTCGCCCATAACGAGCTGCACAGGTCACCATTTCCACCCTGTCATGCTGCCACGGCCCTGAAGAGCCGGCAGCCATTCATTGCTGCCTTAGTCCAAGAAAGGTAGGGGTGCTGATATTGAGCGTTCCTGGCTGCTTCTGGCGCCCCAGGACACTTTGCAGAGTCCTCAAGATCAGCCAACAACAACAGGATGACGCAGCGGCCACGAGCTCTTGACTGGCCTTGTGGAAAACAGTGCACAACCGCCAATTACCCAACAGCCGGGTTGATTTAAAAGTCCGCGCACATGCTCGCAGGCGCCCCGCTCCACACACCCACAGCAAAACTAAAGTACACTGCAAAATACTGTCGCCACGTTCCCGCCGTTATTCTCTCTCCGGTCCAGCCGATGCTCCCGCTGACAATCTCGGAAGCCAACATTGCGCGTTGCCGCAATGAAATGGAGGGCCGCAACAACTCGAGCCCCCAAGGCATAAAGAGAGCCCAGCGGAGATCCGGATTGCTATCAGTCAGCCGTATCGCGTCTCGAAAACGCTCCACAACAACAGCCGTGCCAAACCCTTTTCAATGGAAGTGGCATAGCGTCCAGGGCCAACGAGCAGCGGCATATTGGTCGTGACGAATGCAACCAAAGGGGAGTCCCGGCAATCTGGCGCCATCGTGTGGCGAATGCAGCAACCGTTGGGCAAGCTGCTGAAATCGGTGCGGGGCAACCGAGCACCAGATCCTTCATATCGCCGTTGCCACAGCACTGCTGGCGGACTTGCACATCTTTGCACTCTTCCGTTCGCGAGGCCATGTTGTCTCTACACTACCTCCTGCTTCCCACCCGACGCAGGTCAATCCTCCTGAGGCGCAGTGGCCACAAAGGCGTCAGCGGCAAATGTTGCCATGCACGGGTTGGGCTGGAAAGGAGTGCATTCCCATATCCCATCCAGGAGTTCAGGACGGCAGAAAGACAGAGCCGCTATGACGATTCAGATGGCAATGGACAGCACAGGAACACATGGCCAAGCAAGTTTGCAAGGCCTTTGCCTCACAACTGTCGCTTCTCATAAATGATCAGAATGTGATGCCACACTCAACAGTGACAGAATGCACAAGCGTCCATCGGGCATGTCGCAGGCATATACTTACATGAACCAATGGGGCAACCTCTGGAGTAGGGAAGAGCGCCTTGACAATGCCTGGTGTCTTGAGGAGGTGCCGCCCGCTCATCTGGGGATAAACGTCTTCAAGGAAATAGTACACGTGACCTGAGCAACCCTGATGGCGTGAGCAACATGCCATATCCCCAAAATACATTGCTGATATGAGTTGGACACACAGCAAGAAACCAAAATTTTGTTTATAATTGCAACTCTGACACCTCCAGATAGATGCAGTTTCTGTTTCAGGACTTCAGTTATTACTGTAAAGTCAGCAAACGAAGCCCATCAGTGCCATTGAGGGTGAACGCCTACGAGTGCATCACTTGGCAGATTTGATTCATGCGTGTATTGGAGTGAACAGCAGCAGATCTTTGCGCAGAAAACGTTGTCCAAGGCTTTGCAGTGAGAGCGCACCAATGCCACAGTGCCTAACCAGGCCAACGTCTTCCCCTCAGAAGGCAGCTGCACGCCATCACTGCCTTCACACTGAATCTCCTAAATTCGAGTGGAGTTTTCCAAGGTGCAGCCACTCAATGAACCTCTTGGCACATGCAACTATGATGTGGGCTGTTCAGCTATAGAAGAACAGTATAGAAACAAGTAGCTGTGGATGCGAACATCCATTGACACCTCCAGATGGGTGGTGGAGCAAGATAAGTCATCTTTTGATAAATGCTATCATCATGGCTTGATGCCAAGGCAGTGGTTCAGTAATTGTACACAGGGGCAGGTACACCACTGCTGACCTGCTATCATCCCCAGGATGTCCACCACAGGGCTGGAGCCGATCATAACAGAGAATCCCAGCAGCACCCATGGTAGGTAGGGAGCTGAGAACGTGAACAGGCCAAGGAAGCTCAGCTGCACATAGGGGTGACGGCGGCTCCACACGTACACCTGGGTCCAGGAACAATCACAGGAACTGCAGTGAACTCAACACTGTAATTTCACGTGCTCAAAAATGCCAACATTTTCCAGATTCCCATGTTTAGAGACTCACCATAGCTACATTATAGTAAAGAGTCACAGCATATTATGCTGATGTAAATCTGCTCATGATATGAAATTTACTCCTGCTCTGCTTTATGATGTTGATGTGCTCAAAATGGCAGCACAGCCTGCAGGGCTGTGCCTCCTCATAATTGCAAGCTTGGCGTGGCTTGTCACAAACAGCGACAGCACTATTGTGAAACGGCTCACAGCAAGCAGTATTTCAACAGGGAAAAGCAGTGCTGGTGCGGAAGAGTACTGCGAAATGTACAGCCTGCGACTAGAATGGCTAGCTGAGTTGTGCACAAATATGGACACAAATCTGGAGCAGTTCCAACACACAGAATCCACAGCGCATGGTATTCAGCAAGTCACGTGTGTACTTGGACACTTACACAGGTGCAAGACAACACTGAGCAGCTGCAAATGCCTTTGGACAACTTTACAACCATGCTGTCAAGCCAAGAGGTGACAAGGTTAAGCAGCCGGAACTGTACACGACAGTACGTTGAAACCCATGTGAGCAACGGCACGATGTTGGGCTGCTGTCAGTATCAACACAAAAGAACAATATCGTTGTCCTGCTGAGCTGTGCACAACGAATCATCTCACTCACAGGTGGAGTTCAATTGGCAAACAGCATGGAAGGGTACTCACCATCATGTATGTCAATGAAAAGCCAAGAAATTGCACGTTCACAAATGGCGCCAGCAGCATCAACTGTGTGCCACCTGCATTGGGCAACATTCAATAACCATTCCAATGTTCTTGCACTCAGAGCAGATGAGAAATTCTTTCTGTAGCATGTGGCGTAATACTCAAGTTGGAAGCAGCGTAGCTCACCAATGCTGAACATCACCAGGAACAGCTGAAAAAGGGCCAATAGAGCTGCTGTTCTGGGACAAGAAAAGGACCAAGAAAGACAAACATTCACCAGACATCACACAGCCCTACAACACTAAGGGCAAGGTCCCTGACCACACTCCCTTCAAACATCTGTGCTCTTGACATCTGCGCATTTGTGCTGACCGCAGCTGTGCACTCACCAACGATAAGCATCCACAAGAAGTCAGCACTGCGGCCACGAAAGGACCCTGCACAACAGTCACAAGCACACATCACTCTAGATGTCCAATTGATCAAATAGAGCTAGCAGCTGTGGCTATCTACATCAACTGCATTGACCACACTGTGGCAGGTCATTGTCCTTGCACATGCTGGCCGATCTCTTTTCCCATTCACCATCACATGTGATGGCTCTCAGAGCATCTGGCAGCCTCAACAACTGGCACAAAGACCACCACTGCAGATACTGAAGACAGCAACAAGTATTCCCAGGAAGGCTCCTGATTTTCGTTGTTCTGAGTCCTGGGGCTCAATGCGGGCACTGGTGATGAGCAATCCTCTTGGAAAGTGCCTCATGCACTTTGCAGTTGCACCAAGACAGAGTTACCAAAGGTGGTGTGCATTCTTGCATGCAGCAACCCGCTGTGCAGCAACAACAGTGCACAAGCACAAGCTGCCCCAAGAACAATACCTGCAACACCCCGCTATTGTCAATCAGGACAGACAACACAACTGCCACGGCACGAATACACACATGTAGCTGAGGGTGGACCAGTCCACAACAATGCCATTCTGTTTTCTGTTTGGACCTTGTTTACCTCACCAACACAGGACTGCGCCCTGGCACAAAAGAGCATCCCAAGCGCATTGCTGTTGATGCACGATAATATTCAATATGAGCCAGTGGCTGGGCCAACAGCTGCTGTGCTGTATGGGTTGTGGTGTACAAAACTGTGGCCTGGACGGCACAGGACGATCATGTCCAATTCAGCAACCAACTTGGATATAGGCTTCCAACACTTTATCACCACGCAGCTGTGCCCAGGCCTGCACTATCCGACTGGATAAAACGATTCCCATGCATCGCGCCATCAAAGTATGCATACCTTCCTCCAACAGCTTGCTGTACTTCAACAGGAAGAACATGTGGAACAAGAAGTCCAGGCCTGGGCAGATGAGCAGCATCATAGGTCAGACAACACTGGTTAAACTGCAAAACAGCTTCTATTGACCCCACCGGCGTCCAGATGACGCGACCCAGAGGGCACACACAGCCGCCCCACGCCCTACCCAAGCCTCCGAAGTACAGGAAGCTGGTGAGCAACCGCCAGAGCTCCAGGTTCTGGAAGATCAGGCGGGCGTTGAAGTAGACGTTGAAGGGGGTGATGACCTGGCCACAGGGGGAGCGCAGCCGCATGGAGTCAGCACCAACCGAAACTCCCCAAGGAACGAGGCACACAACTTGCACAGCTGTGGCAGAACCCCCTCTCTCCAACAGGGCATCGGACTTCCAACCCTCAGTGGTCCTTCCCCAGCGTCGAGCACAGTGTGAAAACAGCACATGGATGCCCTGGGCACAATTTGGACAACCAGCGATGCAGCCACAGGACATCGGCGGGGAGGGGGGGCGGAGTGGGCGCACCTCCAGAGCACATCCCGCCGTGGTGAGGAAGGACAGCGTGACGTAGGACTTGGTAATTATGGGCAGCTGATCGGAACCGGCGCCAGAGAGCCACCGTCAGCCAAGGCGGCCACCAATCTGCAGCGCGGGCCGGCAGCAAGCGCCCGGCCACCGCGGCCAGGGCTTCCCCTTCCCCGCACCCCCACCCACCTGGGAGTACCACTCCTCAACAGGCTGCGATGCACGCACGCAGAAACAACCCGATCAGCTAAAACGCCGCGGGATGCAGCTGAACAGCGGCGGCAAACGCACGCGACGGCATTGTACGGTGGCGGCCACAGGGAGGAAGGGGAGGCTGACCATGGCTCAGGACGCGGCTTGCCGGCAGGGCTATCGATGGGGCGACCGGCGCCACCGGCCCGGGGCGGTGTTTCCACGGCGGCGCGGCTCGACCTCGGAAGGGGGCTCCTGCGCCGGGGCGCGCGGGGCGCTGTGCGCCGGACTGGAGGTGTCCGCCGGGGGGGCAGAAAATGGGGGGTGGTGGTGTGGGGACACTTCGAGTGATTGTTGGGGCCTTTGTGCTGGGAAACACGTGGGAAGCTCTGCCGCGTTTGACGAGGGCCAGTACGATTTTGCTACTTTATCGGCTGTGTCAGGGTGTTCGTCGTCGGCGTGTAATTAGTCCCTCTGCCTTTTGCGTGAAGGTGCCTTCTTGTTTAGGACACCCTAAACCCTAAACCACTGACCTACTGACCGGCGTTGTCCTTGTCAGCACAAGAAGAGATTCTCATGGAAAAGACTGAGGGATCATTGTATTCTCGTTTGTGGAGATGGCCGCTCGTCGAGATGTTCCTGAACGCCGGAAGTGCTCCTGATGTTCGAGATGTTCCTGAACGTGCATTCTGAAGTGCACGTTCTGCTTATGTAGCGAGAGTAGTGTACGATTTTGCAATTTTGTACAGGCTTGGTTTTTACGTTTACGTTTACGTTTTTACTTTTACGTTTTTACGCGTAAAAACGTAAATTTGCAAAAGGGCCTATTTTTACGGCTGTTTTTACGTTTTCACGGCTCCCTGGCACACGTAGTTTACACGATGAAAGTTGCATACAATGATCAGTCATCCGCCATCTCCATCACCCGGAGCACAATGTCCACCTCGCCTTTGGCAAGGGCGATAATGGCGTTTAACAAAAACTCGTTTTCTGCCTCTTCCAAGGCGTCTGGCTGCCACTCTCCGGACTCTGTAAATCTATATGTACTGTCCTTATGTACACCAGACAGTTTTTACGTTGTATTTACGTATTTTTACGCATTTTTACGCGTAAAAACGTAAAAACTATTTTTACGCGTAAAAACGTAAATACGATCAGTTTTTACGGCGTAAAAACCAAGCCTGATTTTGTAGGCTATTTCAGCGTGTTTGTCGAGGTGGCTGCTTGTCGATATGTGCTTGAACAGTTCAAGCGTTCCTGACGTTCGAGATGTTCCTAAACTTGCATTTTGAGGTGCATACTCTGCTTGAGCAGCGAGAGCAGTGCTCAGGTGAAGCGAGTGCCGCTTTAAGGGGTTCAAGGTGGTCTGTGGTAGTTACGTATTACAGCACTGGAAAGTGCTTTGAGCACCTTTGAAAGGGGGCTACGCTGGTTATTGGCTCATGTTTATGCTGACAGCTCCCCTGTTAGAGCGTGGTGTGGCAGCTGCGATCTCTGAGAGGAGAAAGGTGTCAGTACGTTCTGCCGAATCAAGTTTGGCATCTATTCTAATACATTGGAAGGCCGACCAATGCCATGCCGCCGGTCAAGTGCATTGGGCGCTGATTGTCTAATATACTTGTGTGTCTCAGATACACCTGGTAAGTTTGGGATATCACATCTGTCCAAATACACGATGTCGGGCATTAGTCACCAAATTTTGGGGAAAGTGAAAAGTTTGCAGCAGTGCATTGTTTTGTTGGTGTTGTCCAATAAGCAGGCCGTTGATAGAGCACAACAGCCCGGCCACTGGCTTGGCATTCAACATTGGCAGCGAGCGCGGTGGCAATGACAATTGCCTGCAATCAACCATGCAGTGAGCTACATTCATGAATAGATCTCCCATATTGGAATCACTTCTGCAAATTATTGCTGGGCCTGTGGGAAAACAAGACATGCTTTGAAAATGATGAGTTCCGTGCGTACAAACAAACTAATGTCCAGGAGCAGTTTTCGCACTTGCGCACTATCCATGACAGCACGCGTGCCAAGACATGGGTTCATCAAAGTCGATCGTATCGTGACAGGCGAATACTGTGGCGAGGTTGTGCTTGGCGGAACGGGTGAGAATCTCTAAATGCGTTGGATCACAGCTAGCGGAAAACGCAAACAAAGGCCTTGCGCATTGTGTGCAATGGCTGCGTAGCAGGGTTTGCTCGAATTCCCCTCATACTTTTAAACTCATTGCCAGTTGTCACACGTGAAGAAGGCCGCATGCGTAGTTCAAGGTTCTTGCGCAAGAACCCGAGAATATCCCTACCAATACGGGCAAAGGATGCTATTGGAAAGATTTTTCCCTTTCATTAATGACAATATTGTTATTCTTCCCCAAAACGACAGCGTATTTTTCCTCTCACTTAGTAGAAAATATCGTTTTGGTAATGCCAATTGCTGTGCCATTTGACAGTTATTGATGCCATCACAATTGCTTTGATGCCATCGTAATACCTGTGGTGGCGCCACTTAGTGCCAACATGGCATCGCCAAAATGGCGTTCTCTGCTAGTGCACTCTGCACCTTGGGTGTTATATTGTGCCCACGTGTAAATAGAAATACACGGCAATAGTTTAGGGAGAGTCTACACACTGTGTAACCACCACCTAAAGTATCCCCATGCATTTATGTGAGTTCTCTCATGTTGTCAGCGTGAGCTCTCTGGCACAGACAAGTCTTTTACTGATTTCCTGTTAGTACTCCACAAGGGGTTTCCCCGTGGCCACGCGCTGTACTTTCCCACTCCGGTGGCCCTTCCAGGGGAACATTCCCCTGTGATGAGGTATGTGAGGTATATGTGAGGTATACGAGGTATTAATACATACCTCAAGGCAAACGCAAATAAGCAGAGAGTCTCAAATCATAAGACAAGCAATCAGGTACAAATCAAATGGAGGCGGTGCACTGTATGCCTATCCGATGCATGATGGATTTGCGATACTCACATGGATTTCCATCCGCACAGCAAGCCATCTGTCCGCACGACTTTGGGAGCGCAGATGCGTGCACTTCATTGTGGTTGCCAAATCAATGCCCCCATCGGGAAATTTGGTACCAGTACCAAATTCCAGCAACGGCATCGGATGGCCGGGCGGGGCCGAGGCCTTCTGGTCAGCTGGAGTGGCTGACCGGTTTGGCGTTTGGCTGAGCCTGGTTCCGACTCTGCTGCACAAGTCCCCTTGCATTTTTCATCGCTGCGAATTTGAGCCACCTATCGGATCACCAATCTTTCTTGACGATCACCAGGCTGGTTGGCGCCCCATGGGGTGGCGAATGTAGCGGGATGCTACCAAAGTGGGGCTCCTCGTTGCAGGGAGTGAACGAAATATGGCACGAGTGTGTCGAAGTGTAGCCGAAACCAAATCACATTTCCCATAACTTTGTGGGGAACGCTGTGTCAACACAGCCGCTTCGGTCACCTTGCAGTGTCTGTCGATTTATCACAGCTCCGCACCAACAATCGAGCATATATTATGCCCCCTATATAGGGAAATTATTTCCCGGAAATATATGACATTTCACTAAAACCTAGGTTTTTCAGCAGTTACTGTTGTTACAAGACCTGATTGAGTATTGCTAAAAGCTGGATGCATAAAGAGGTGATGAAGCATCGGGATTGCATTGAGGACCTTGATGAACGGACTGGACATAATGGACACAGCTCCTGTTGTCCCTTTTTTCGGCTGTAAACCGTTGCTGTGGACTCGAGCCTATGATCCCAAGTTAGGGGTCGCCACCCCAAATTACCACACCCCAAATTCCAGCCCATACTGGAAAACAGACAGGGCAGGGGCGGCTTTGTGGTAGTCTGGGGTTGGGTTCTGGGACTTGAGGTACGCGCTGACCGCCACAAATACAGCAGGAACAACTGGATATCCGCCCAGCCGACGACCCGCAGTTCTTCCACGCCACCCCCTGTCGGACGGAGCTGACCAGCTTTGCGCCCAAGGAGAATATTCACGCCCCCCCGTCGAAGATCTCGGACACCAAATCCGATCCTTCCTGATCTCTCCCGGACCATGCCCCTCGCCAGCCAATGACCCCCCCCTCTCGTGCCACGTCACCCGGCGCCACCCAGCCGAATCCTCGTACAAATCCCCTTCCCCTGCTCCCCTCCTGACCACACAGCCCCGTCGCCTGCCACCTCGTCACCCGTTTTGGCCAAAGGCCGCCCGGAAGCGCCACCCCCCGCGACGCTTCGCAGCCCCGGACGGCAATGGCGCCGGCGGTCGCAGCGCGCAAGGCCCTGGCGGGGGCCCCCCTGGGCCTGGGCTCGGATCTGGGCAGGTGCATAGCCGGGGGAATTGGGGATCGCGGCAGAGCGTGGGGATCTGTTGAGCTGGCGCGGCGAAGACGGTGCTTCCCGCTCGTCGCGGGCCGCAGCACGCGTGCGGGGCCGTAGTTTAGCTTCTGGCGCGGCTTGGGCTCGAAAGCGGGGCTCGGTGACTGGTCATGTGGTGCCCCCGATGTCGACGGGATGCGGGCGAGTTGTAGGGAACCTGCTGGCAGCGCGCGCCCACGTCTGAAATTGGTTCTACGGCGCCCGAAGTCTGGGCTAGAGAACCGCGACGGCGCTCCGACGCTCGGCGCTTGCCGCGAATTCCGCAGTTTTTTTGTTCCGTCGCATGCCGCGGTTTGGATACTGCGACGTGGGGTCGGATAACCTAGCCCTCGCGCGTGCCCGGTGTCCACGTGCCCCGACGGCACTCCCGGTCACAGCGACGTTTTGCCCCCCCCGTCCCCTCGTCAAGGGAAAGCCCCGCGCGGCGCTGGAAACGGCCAGGCTCGCAGGTTTTTCGCTGCAATGCAGTTTTTCCGTCTCGGAACGGCGACACCATCCCCACCTAGGGCAGCGGACTTTGAAAGTGGAGTCCAGCGCGACGCTTTGCACCCACGTGCGCTACGAAAAACCCTCCGTGCGCTGGGAGAGACCAGGCTTGCGGTTTCTTGCCGCAATCGTGGATTGTGCCCTTTCCGTGTCGGGACGGCACCATTAGCCGCACCCAAGGCCAGTGAGCTTTGGCAGCGGAGTCCTGCGCGACCTTTCGAGCGCACGAGCGCAGCAGAAAGCTCCGTGCAGCACTGGGATCTGCCAGGCTCGCAGATTTTTGGTGTACTCGCAGATTTGACCTTGTCAGTCTCGGGACGGGGCCATTATTCTCAACTTGGGGTGGCGGGCTTGGAGAGTGGGTCCGCGACTCGGAGGGCGCGCCAGTCGCGCTTGAGAGCTCGTGGCGTCCTCGCCGCGCGGCGGTGCAACGCCGGACGTCAGTAATATCGCGAATCAGTTGCGTGAGGTACAAGCACAGTAACGCATCCTCCAATCAGACTAGAATCTACTGTCGCTGAGCCTTGTGCATGCTGCGGTGCGGGCGGACGTCAGGCGTCGACCCGTCGTGGACTCCACCGTGTACGCCAACGCCCGCTCCAAGAACATCGTCATCAACCCGCAGAAGCAGGGGGTGAACAGCGTGAAGAACAAGGTCGTGCGCGAAAATCTGCTGGGCCAGTCCAAGACGATGGAAAGGAAGGGGTGGCTGGATCCGCAGGGCCGCAAGGGCAAGGTGGGCACACCGCCCATCTCTTGGAGCTCCATCCCCATACGACGTCTAATTTCGCTCCCCAACACACACACACGTCTATCCTTCCCCCCTCTTGGCCCTTTCCGCTGCGCACAAATCTCAGAGTCCAAACAACTCGCGCACGAGATAGTTGACGCCCTGCTCTTGTTTGCCGCTTGTTCAAGCGGGCGGTGAGCTCATTGCGATTGAGCATGTTGGCACGGCAGTTGCCGCCTACCCGGGTGTTTGCATGCATTTCAAAGACGCCGTGTGGGCCGTTCGCGGTGCCTCGCCGCGTCTCAACGCCTCACAAACCAGCGCGCGTTGAAAAGCGACGGCGGACGGAATGCGGCAGCGGTGGTGTAAAACTGTTCTCCCCTCGCAGGGCTTGGGCGTGTATCGGTTCGCCAAGAAGTACGGGACCAACGTGGACGGCTACTCGCCCATCTACACGCCGGACATCTGGTCCAAGACGGGAGAGAGCTACGACATGGGCCAGAACGGGCTGATTATCTGGTGGGTGGTCGCGGAAGTCTGTGGCAGCAGGAGGGGTGGGCGTTGGATGATTCTGGCCGAGCTGCAGTGTTGTTTGGGTATTGTAGGTGAATTGAGGGTGCATGCAAAATGAATGCATCCAATACAGGCTGACCAAGACAAGAAATGCTGTGTTCCGCCTTGGTGCGAAAGTACTGGCAAGCCTCAGCCACGCCTGCTGGGAATGTTGCAACTGCGAACAGCGATGTCAATGCTGGTGCTGTGGAGTTGCAACATGCATGCATGCATGCATGCAAATGCTGTGATACCACGATGGCAACTCACGGGAACACTTCAACCTTGTATATGTCACAGGGGTCTCTTGCTGGCGCTCGGGTTCTTCGTGGCGATCAGGCTCGTCGTCGCGACCTCGGCTCTGTGATGTGTGAGCGAACTGCGGCGCCTGTGGTTGGTGCATTCCGGGGATGGCCATCTGGCGCACTCGGGGGTAGAAAACATCTTGTGAAGATATAACCACAGTTTCGGGCCATGTCCTCTGCCGGTTTGGTCGCCTGCGGCCCTTGCTCCAGAGCGCATCAATACTGACGGCACCTTGACAGCATTTGTGTATGATCGCGGGTGGTGGCGCAGGCAATTTTTTCTACTTGGGGTGCCTCGTGCTTTTTTTTGCGCGTGAGGTGTCCTACTTGTGTGGTGCCTGTTCCTTTGTATCCAAGAACAGGTACGTGTGTAACTCGCTGTACCACAGAATTCTGTGGTAATTCTAATTCAAATTCCCTGCCCATTTATAAACGTGCCCGCATCCAACCATGCTTGTGAAATACGTCTGGCTCACAGTAGCGTATCAATATGTGCTTTTCTACCTACAGCTGTTTGTAGATGTTATCTCATTTACAAGCCTGCATGCTCCAGTGCCGGTGCGGCTGATGCCGCAAGTCCGATTGCGCCCACGCCCTGTACGTGCCCTTTGAGCGCCTGCCTCTGCGCCCCAACACCCGCCACAAAAGCCCAGGCAGCCTGTGTTGCACAGGCGCGCGACACCGCCACAACACATTCTCACTTAGACTTTGACCCTGACGCCGTAGAAAATTTTTTCTGGCTCGCAAAGTTCTTAGGAGGGAGCTTGTTGCTGGCTCACAAAATTCTTGGTGGTTTGTGTCGACTACTAAAGCGACCTTGCGCCGTGGCTTTGGTGCTGAAGCGCTTTGCGCTGCAGTCTTCCTGTCGAACATCGTGAGGTCTTTGGTAGCCGACGTAGCTTTCAAAACTCAGCCTTTGGTAGCCTTCACGACACAGGCCCTCAAGGGGCCTACTGGTTGTCGCCACGTGGGGGCGCACCCACGAGGAAATCGAAAGCCTGTCAGCGCGCGCCACGTGCCGCCCTTAACTACGGCTCTGGCCCCTGAACGACACCCACACACCGCCAAGCGAAAAGTGCCCCGCGGGAATCTCTTCCCGCCACAGATCAGTTTTTATTGCGGCCACCGCCTCCCCACCGCGCAACCCCGCTCCCCTCCTCGCCTCCCTCCACGCCGCCCGCCGCCTGCCCGCCTCGCCTGCCGCGGACGCAACGCCATGGCCTCCACCATGACCTCCAGCGCTTTCACGGGCACCAGCCTGAAGACCACCCAGGCAGCCAGGTGAGTTCCTCTGAGCAGGGTGCACGAGCTGTTCGCGGCATCACGCAGTTTGGGCGGCGTCTTTCGGTGCTGGTCGAGTTTGTGATCGTTGAGGTGGTATGTCGGGGCTTAGAGGGGCCGATGGCGGCTTTAGCGACTCCTGGGCGTGAAGATGCTGCCTAGTGGGGAAACGGGCGATGGTTGTTTGGGGTCATCATGTCTGGCCGCACCTTCCCTCTCTTCTTTCGATAGGTGGTCGGAGGTCGGAGGTCGTGGTGGTTTATGCGAGCCGGGGGCGGTTCAGCAGACAGCGAGGGTGGCTGAATCAGCCCGTGCGCCGGCCACTGGGGCGAATGCATGATTGTTGTGTATGGTCATAGTGTCGGGCAATTTTCTGGTCGATCCTTTTCTTTCCTTCGATATGTGGTCGGAGGTCAGTTTGGGTGGGGCGGGGGGGCGTCTCAAGAGTGGGCGGGTTTGTGGCTGAAACGGCCTGTGCGTCCGCCAGGTCTAAGTCGTTTCCCAGCCTGACCATCGTGGCCAGCGGCTCCAAGACCAACATCTCCAAGCAGGGGCTGAACAGCGTCAAGAACAAGGTCGTGAAGCAGAACCTCATGGGCATAGCGCCCTCCATGGAGAAGAAGGGCTGGGTGGACGCGCAGGGCCGCAAGGGCAAGGTGGGCGTTCGGCGCCCCTTGCCCCAAATGCGATTCGCTCGAACCAGTCCCCGCTCGAAAACTTTCCATGGATGCTTGCGAGCTTGGCGGCTCCAAGACAGTCTTCCTGTGCCTCGTTTGCTGATCGACTGCGAAGCGCCAGTGGCGAACTGTCAGTGTTTCACCCCCCCAGTCAGTCCCGCATAGATGGGAGTCGTCAAGATTTGGATGATGTGTGGTTCTGTCTGTCTGGAGATTCTGCGATCTGTGTCGTGATGGCCTTGTACCGACGCCAGCGACTGGCCGTGTCGCTCGCCGTGGAAGTGAAGGCTCGCGCCGCGACCTCGGGGAATCGGGCACGGCTGTTTGGATCTGAGGCGGTCTGCCGTGTGCGGTTGTGCTATCAATGCAGGGCAAGGGCGTGTATCAGTTCGCCAAGAAGTACGGCGCCAATGTGGACGGCTACTCGCCGATCTACACCCCCGACATCTGGTCGGACACCGGCGACAGCTACAGCCTGGGGCCCAAGGGCCTGATCGCGTGGTGGGTGGCACTGTTTATCTCCCAGCATCTAATATTCGCTTCAGCGCGAAGCTGAGGTGCATGCCGGGCTTTCGGCCGGAAGCGCCTGGCGTGGTTGCCTCAACGGCCTGCTTGGGAGAGGGCGGCGATCAACGGCGCGGGCGCTGCTGTGGGTCCTTACCTTCGGTCCAGCTTGACTGTCCGGAGTCGACCGATTGTGGGTGGCGGAGGCGCTCGGCGGTTGTGGCGGTTGGGCCTTGGCTCTCTGGGCGGCTTGGCCTCCGCTGGTGGATGTGGAATCGAAGGCAGTTGCCCACCAATTGAGGCCGTGCCTGTCGCGCGATCACGGCATCCAGTCTGCTCCCGTTGTGGACAGACTTCTGTGTTGCGCATGTCGTCGTGCGGCCAATCTGCTGCGGCTGCTGCAAGGTTGCTTCCGTCTACAGCGTCTGCTGATTGTCGATCCCGCGCCTGCCATTGGATGCCTGAAGTAGGCACAGCGCGCTAGGAACGAGCTTGTAAGCGAGGCTACCGTGCCAGGAGGCGAAGAGAGCCCTCGCGTTAGCTCTGGCTGTGAAACACGGTGGTCGCAATTGTGTAGAAACGTGTGTGGCTCACACAGTGGAATGCTGAACAGCTGATGGTGGTTG